CTACATTAGAGCATTATCCAAATTTGATTCAAATAACATACTGATAGTTTCATTGTGTTTTTTCTGTAAGACTCTAATATTGCGACTTGTATTCTGTAAAACTTCCTTATCTTTATCAATTGTTGGATAATTTAGGTTAACACTAGGTACTGCAGTATTTTTTAATTTACGACGCAAAGACAAACCTTAAAAAAAAACATATTTATTTTAAGCAGTACATTAATAGAATAGGTTTTTACCTAACAATTCATTTTCAAGGTCCGTTCATAATCATTTTCTGTAAAATGTTTGTAACAAACAAATCCATTTTTGAGAGTGAATTTATCCCCTCTTTTGCAACGACGAATCCATTCTTTTTGCAAAGTTGTGGAAACCATATCCTTAGCAATAGGAAAAAAAATGAAATATTACATCAGTAACACCACTTTTCTTTAAAGTCAACTTTACTAAAAATTACAAGGTTATTTAATGGTTAGACAATTATTGCTATTACTTACAAAAATGTGAATATTTCCCATTTTTACCTGAATTTAATTTAAAAATGTTCAAAAAACAAAAAAAAGGTTCCACAATGGCAAAAAACAAACCTCAAAACGGAAGAAAATAACAGAGTCTTATATGGCGTCTACTCGTTACACCAGTTTGAAAAATGTCCAAAAGCACAAAATAATACGACGTTCACAATAACAAACTCAATGTTTCAGAAACCTAATTGGTATAGTTAAATAAAAATGTAATACTGTCCAAAAATAATCCTCAGTCTTATGGTAGCTACTAAAAGTGTCACCAGTGTTACGTCACATCTGCTTGGCGCTTGTTCAACATGGCGATATACAGGGTCCTGCAACAGTGGCGCGGTGTTCCATATCTCAATTTAGGAAACAGATAGGAATCTAAATTTCTATAATATCACCTCATTGCACGAACTAGACAAAATAAAAATACTGGCGGTCACACAGGGTGTTCAATTTTTTCTGGGCGGATCCCAACTGTGTTTTTTTTAAATAGCAACCTATATTTTTTATTGCTTTTTCGGTTTCTACATAGAAAATAAAAGACACTTTATGTATATCTTCACTTCGAAAATATTGACGGTTTTCGAGATATCTAGCAGGTTTTTTTCCCAATATTCGTCACTCAGGATATTTGAAATTATAAAGTTGTGCCAAGTCCAATTGCATTTTTTTTGATCAAATATTCTACAGTGGTAACTCTCTCAAACGATACATCTGAAGTCGACCTGTGATATACAGGTTATGAAAAACCGCTTGCCACATATTGTAAATAAAAATTTGCAGAATCTTCCTTAATTTAAATGGAACACCCTGTATATTATTGATCCATAAGGAGCGTCAACGAAACCTCTACAAATTTCATTGAGTATTCCTTATGGCTAGGTTCAATAGTTTGTCTTAAAAAAGCATTTTTTTCGAAAAATGGTCGTTCTTCCTATTTCTACGCCATAAACTCGATGAAAGACTTTTTTCAAAGCGTAATCCATTTGACGACTGATAAGAATGTACGAAAGATATCTTATTTCAATTTTGAACATTATAGCGTGTCCAAACAAATATTTTTTACGAAATAAATGTTTGTACCTATCACATTTTTCTAAATAGAAAATTATTTTTTTCATTGGATGCAGAATTTTTCCCATAAATCGTGCAATATTAAACCAAACAAGATTAAATGAAAAAACATTGTGAATATTACAAATTTTTTTTTCATGTTATGGTGTATATTCATGAATTATTCAAGGCTTAAGTTCTAGATATTTAAATTTGTCAACTGATAAACTACAAAACTAAAAAAGAAAGAGTTTAATGAAGGTTGATAATGAAACTTTTATAAAATATGTTCGACATGTCTTCCATTTTCTTGAATGCAGAGCTGAAGTCTATGTTTAAAAGACTGTTCTATCCTGCGCAAGACAGCTGGTGCAATGCTGCCAAAAGCATTCGTTATTCTAAGTCGCATATTTTCGGAAGAAGTTGGTGACTAGGTGGATCGGTGGCTCGACGTAAACCATATTTTTTATGTATCCTCATAAGAAAAAATCCAGTTTTGTTAAATCTGGTGATCTAGCGGGCCACCGTACAGGCCCATTCCGTCCTATACATTTATTGGGAAATACTTCATTTAGATGATCTCTCACTTCTGCCGAATAGTGAGCAGGTGCATATACATTGTTACATTCATATGTACCTGAAAAAAGTATGGACCAATTACATATTCTCCAATGATGCCTCCCCAGACATTTATCGACCACCTATATTGATAGTCCACCTGTCTCAATAAGTGGGGATTTTCTGTCAAATAATAATGGTAATTATGTCGATTCACAAATCCACTTTTATGGAATGTCGATTCATCCGACCATAAAATGTTATTGAAAAAATATTCGTTTCGACGAATTTTTCCCACGGCCCAATTGCAAAATCTCACTCTTTTCTCGATATCGGTATACAGTAGTATGAGATGGATGAAAGCGATGTTTCTTCAAAACTCGTTGCATTGATCTCTCACTTATATCCACTATTTCACCAATTTGTCGTTGACTCCTACTAGGATCTTCTTCAACAGCAAGAAAAACTTGCAATTCATTATCTTCATTAGCGCTCATGTTTAGAATAATTGATACATCCAGTTTTAACAAATCGTTTAATTATATTTTATTCGCTGAAGATTATTTAAGACCGAAAAAATATGGCACAAACTTCGAGATTATTGAAATTATTGTAATTACTCAAGAACGTACATTTTGCAACAGGTAATTTTAGGCAGGGGGCGATATTTTAAGGAAAGGCTTGGACAAAAACTATGCATCAAATGAAGAAATTGCACGGTGTTCTATTTCGAGAATAAATGTGTTATAAACATAATATATATCTCGATCACAGCCGTCACATATGGATTTCACAGTAAAAAAATCATTGATATTATGGCGATACAATAGAGAGTTGTCATTTTTAGAAAAAATAAAATAAAAAATATGAAAAACTATAGGACACGCTATAATGTACAAAATTGAAACAAGATATCTTTCGTACATTCTTATCAGTCGTCAAATGGATTTCGCTTTGAAAAAAGTCTTTCATCGAGTTTATGGCGTAGAAATAGGAAGTACGACCATTTTTCGAAAAAAATGCTTTTTTAAGAAAAACTATTGAACCTAGCCATAGGGAACACTCAATGAAATTTGTAGAGGTTTCGTTGACGCTCCTTATGGATCAATAATATACAGGGTGTTCCATTTAAAATAAGGAAGATTCTGCAAATTTTCATTTACAATATGTGGCAAGCGGTTTTTCATACCCTGTATATCACAGGTCTACTTCAGATACATCGTTTGAGAGAGTTACCACTGCAGAATATTTGATCAAAAAAAATCCAATCGGACTTGGCACACCTTTATAATTTCAAATATTCTGAGTGACGAATATTGGAAAAAAAAACCTGTCATGCTAGATATCTCGAAAACCGGCAATATTTTCGAAGTGAAGATATACATAAAGTGTCTTTCATTTTATCGAAAAAACGATAAAAAATATAGGTTGCCATTTGAAAAAACACAGTTGGGATCCGCCCAGAAAAAATTGAACACCCTGTGTGACCGCCAATATTTTTATTTTGTCGAGCTCGAGTAATAAGGAAATATTAAAGAAATTTAGATTTCTATCTGTTTCCTTAATAGAGATATGGAACACCGCGCCACTGTTGCAGGACCCTGTATGTAAGTAAGCAATCCTGTATGTCCATAATCGTTGGACTGGATTTTGGTTTAGATGTTATAATCATTATACCCATGATTCGTCACGCAAAACACTCCAATATTTTATGCCTCCCGCCAACAAACTAAACAGCTTAGACTGCGAACATATGTTCGAGACGAGTGTACCAACATAAAAAAATTCATCAACGGAATGATAGCGAAGAGGAAAAGCGGTCAATATATGACATGACATGTTTCTTTTTCTGAGTCAAGCCGAATACATCTTGTAAATCAATTTTCCTAAAGATGGGTACCTTAACAGTGCATTCTCTATGCATTTTTCAAATCAAATAGAATATAAAACACATTCTTGAAAATAGTCTCACACAGGTACGATACAGGAAAATGTGATAACTTACATTCATGCAATACATAAATGAAATCATCTTATAATGGCTTTATGAAGTTATTCAGCAGCAGAATAGATCTGGCAGACCTGAGGGTTATCTAAAACTCTCTGTATAAATATTTAGAATCTGGGGCATTTTACACGTAGGAAGAGTTTTTAGAAAAAATAAACATAGAGTACACATACACGCACATACACACCAGCCACCCAATATTCACCAACACTAGCTCCTACTACATCTCACATCTACCCTCCACGAAGTTCCAGCCGCAAATGAATGCCCGCACTTCTTTCTGTAAGCTCATCGATTAGGAATGGTAGGGTTGTCCCCCCCCCTGACCCCTATGACGTCTGTACAAATTAGTTTGCATAGAGTACACATACACACACCAGCAAGCCAAGATTCACCAACACGAGCACTCACCACACCACACATCTACCCTCCACGAAGTTCCAGCCGCGAATGAATGCCCGCACTGCTTTCTGTAAGCTCATCGATTAGGAATGGTAGGGCTGTCCCCCCTCCACTATGACATCTGTACAAATTAGTTTGCATAGAGTACACAAACACACACCAGCAAGCAAAGATTCAACAACACGAGCACTCACTACACCTCACATCTGCACTCCCTGAAGTTTCAGTTACGAATGATTGCCTGCCGTACTGATTTCGCTTTCTGTCAACGCATCGAGTTGTGAGTGGTGGGGTCGCTTGTGACGTCGACTCTATTGGGACGCTACCTCTCGAGAAAGAGAGTAGGAGAGTACACACGTCTGCACTCTTTGAAGTTCCAACGACCACTGCATGCATGTTCGTATCGCCGATCGCCTTCTGTCGGCGCATTGAGTTAGAATTGGTAGTGGGGTTGTCCGTGCCGAGTGCCCTACTAGCGATGTGTGCGCATTTTTGCCTAGATTGTGGTGGGAGGTGGCTCGCTATCCATTATATAAGGAATGAATATTTCCATATGAAATCATTTAAAAGAAAATATCTGCGGCAGTTAGAATTGTTTGTGAGTGAGTTATTCAGTGCCATATCTGCAGCAGTTAGCAATTGTGTGAGTGCATTTTTCTGTTGAAAACTGTTTATATCTCCCATTCAATTATTCATCATGCCTGTTTCGAAAGTATACTTGCAAAAAATCAATGTGAATATACAGGAAGTGGAAGTTTTGGAGCAAAGGGTCTTATCATCATTGCCAATAAATGAAGCATATGTAATAAGGAATATGACCCTTTTTTCCACTCGGTTTGGTAAATCAATTTTATTAACTTTGGAAGATGTGAGGAACAATAATAAATTATTCAAAACATGGCTACCCAAACAAATCTCAATGCAATTTAGTGATGATGATATAACTTGCATCAATTCATCGAGTGGTAAATATACACTGGTATATTCAGGTCAGAGTCCACTTGTATGTTTTCTATGTGTTTCAGATATGGATTTCTCCGACTTCGAGGTCAACGCTGCCATTGACAACATCATGCCGGATCTTAAGGAGGGTGCCATGACTGCCTCCATCGAGAGTGAGCTTTCAGATCCTAGCTACGAGGATGTCATGAGTGTGCTAGGTGAGGGAATCATCCCGGATATGCTCTCCCAGATCCGGAATGATGAAAATCCAGCCCCAACTACGGGGTCGAAGAAGGTAGTGGCCTCAACCCAGGAGGTGGAGGCATGTACATCATCAGCAAACCCATCGACATCGTTGGCGACCCCATCGACTCCTGCAGCAGCCGCTCCCATAAACAATACTCCCGCCACCACCGTGCTTATCGAAGGGGTTGACTCTTCAGAAGAGGAGAACGCTCTAGTTGAGCATATCGTCTTGTCTCTCAGGAAGAAGTACGATGCTGCTAAACTTGCCTGCCAACAAAGTGAGACTGCAAGGGAAGATAATCAGCATCGTCAGGAAGAGATTGTCAGGCAACGAGCTGAACTTGCTTGGAAAGATGCAGAACTTGCCCGGGAATCTAAATTTCTTGCTGAGAGTGACCGGTTAGAAGCTGAGCGTCATAAAAAGAGATATGCTCGATTCAAACGTATCAAGGGGAGAATGTCCAAATTACTTCTTCACTTGGGCAACCTCTTCGATGAGTTGTAGTAGATTAAGTTGTTGTTGTTGTTTTTTTTGTTTCAATAATTTTCAATTGCCTTAATAAATAATTTAAAAAAATGAAATATGAAATGAAAAGAAGAGTGTACATTCGATCGGTTTGGTACACATTGAACAATGCGTTGGTTGGGGCATTGTTCTTCATTTCATCCTATTATTATTTTTATTAGGTTGAGAATTATTTTTGTTTTCAATTTCAAGCTCTTCTAGAAGAATCGAGTACTTTCTGAGTACAGAGTATTCGAATACAAAGAAATAAGTTAATACCAATACAATTTTAACGTAACATGTACGATTTTCATTGATGGCATCCATTTCTTCGAGCCCTATTTTCTCTTTTTTTTTGTTTCTCATCTTGATCTCTCATTTACGTAGTCAGATATCTATAATTTCCGGTTTCTATTTGACGCTAAGGTTGAGACTCGGCTTACGTACTATTGTGGTGTGCTGTTCTCATTCATTTCTCAATCACATCCCTTATTACAACTATGCGGTAAAAATGTAAAAAAACAATTATGAAGTACTGACAGTAGCGAGTACTGAACGTATTCGAATACTTCACTGAGAGTATTCGAGTACTAACGAGTACTTTTGAGAATCGAGTGCATACTGATTCTTTGTACTCGAGTACCCCATTACTAAACAATATTACAAAACTCAAAAAAAACAAGATACTTCTAATATAATATTATTCACTAAACATTTAAGAAATTTTATTGGTATAGTCACAAGTGATTGTTGTTTTAGCAGTATCCTTATTAACGTGAAGTTAGCCACAGATTTCCCACACTTTCTGACGTAGGGAAACTCTAACGTGGGATAGAGGCGGTGTTGTCAGATTGTTTTTTTTCTTAACTTCTTACGACCAACATTTCTTTAGGTAATTGGAGTCGGGTAGTGAAGTAATTCGATACGAAGCTTCTAATCATTCAAAATTTACTCAATATATTTCGAGTGCCAAAATTTCACAAATATGGGTACATGTTGAGATAGTTGAGATAGGTATATACCTAAATAATTTGTTTGACCCTTGGAGACAGGAAAAATTCATTCTACAGGAGAATCAGCAATCCACCCAAAATATTTTGAGTGTCAGAAATTCTATAATTTCTCAAGACAGGTTATAAGTATACGGGTTAAAATCAATTTGTTTTGTCGCAGAATAACGATCGGTCAGTAACAAAAGTGTGGCTGGGCAATTAGTACCAAAAATAATTGTTATGTTAAAAAAGTTGATTGAATGTTCGACCAAAGACATATCAAAGTTCACAAATACGTGACTTAATCAATTTGTTTGACCGAAATTAACAAAAAAAATTTTTGAAGGCTCTAGAAACAATCCATTTGAAATGTCACAAATTTTTGAATATGAAATTTTTTCAGAGGATTGAGTTCATTGACACTGAACAAAAATATATTTGCTTGAGAAAATACTCATGAAATTGCCTTCCGATTTCTTTGGATGGCCGTAGGAGACTTGAGAAAAAATTGAACTTTTTCTTGTACTATGAAATTTCTATATAGAGGTCCGCTTCCACTGAACTGAAAATACTGTAAGAAAGAGCATCTGAAAGCATTCATGCTGTATTTTTTGTTCAGTGGCAGCGGAACTCTATATGGAAATTTCATAGTACGAGAATTTTTTTTTATTTTTTCCAGGTCTGCTACGGTCATCCGAAGGGATCGGGAAGCAGTTTTATGAATGTTTTCAGATGCTCTTTACAACTGTCTTTTTTGTTCAGTGGCAGCGGACCTCTATATGGAAATTTTATAGTACAAGAAAAAGTTTTTAATTTTTTTACAAGTCTGCTACGGCCATACAAAGGGATCTGAAGGCAGTTTTTTGAATGCTTTCAGATGCTCTTTCTCACGGTATTTTTAGTTCAGTGGCAGCGGACCTCTATATGGAAATTTCATAGTACGAGAAAAAGTTTTTTTTTTTTCCAAGTCTGCTACGGCCATCCAAAGGGATCTGGAGGCAGTTTTATGAATGTTTTCAGATGCTCTTTACAACTGTCTTTTTTGTTCAGTGGCAGCGGACCTCTATATGGAAATTTTATAGTAAAAGAAAAAGTTTTTATTTTTTTCCAAGTCTGCTACGGCCATCCAAAGAGATCTGAAGGCAGTTTTATGAATATTTTGAAATGCTCTGTCTCACGATATTTTTAGTTCAGTGGTAGCGGCCATCCAAAGAAATCGGAAGGCAATTTCATGAATATTTTATCATGCAATAATTTTTGTTCAGTGTCAATGGACTCAATCCTCTATAAGAATTTCATATTCAAGAATTTCTGACAATTCAAATGGATTGCATTATTGCCTTTAAAAAAATTTTTTCTGTTAATTTCGGTCAAACAAATTGATTAAGTCGCGTATTTGTGAACTTTGATATGTCTTGGGTCGAACATTCAATCAACTTTTTTAACATAACAATTGTTTTTGGTACTAATTGCCCAGCCACACTTTCGTTACTGACCGATCGTTATTCTGCGACAAAACAAATTGATTTTAACTCTGACAATTGATTTTAATAATCTGACAACACCGCCTGTGTTTGCTCCTCTGTCCCACGTTAGAGTTTCCCTACGTCAGAAAGTGCGGCTAGAAATCTGTGGCTAACTTCACGTTAATAGTATCCTTATAGTATACTATACTCAGCATACTTTTAAAACGGATTGAATTCTGAGCACATGATAATTAGGTATACTCCTATTTACACTTAGGTTCAATAGTCCAGTCATTATAGTAAGTTCACCTCGGAATTCGAGAGACCCAGCTGTAAATCTGTAAATACTTGTATATTGACACCCTAAAAGTTGTCTCAAAACCTACATATGGTAGGGTGTAAGCAACTATCAAATTTCAAGGTCAAAGGTCACAAAAATCGGTTTTTTGCGCTTTTTTTGGAAATATCTCATTTCCTATCGGTTTTTTGCTATTTGTATTTATTATCAATATTGTAGAATACAAAATTCTCTACAAATTTTGTTTAAAAAAATGTTTTATACGGTGAACCGTTTTCGAGATAGAGGGCGGAGAGCACGCGGTCACAGCATCACTTCAGGTCAACCGGTGCCTCCGGTCGAAAACGCGCCATATATAGTTGATGAACTATCGATAAATCAATGATTATAAATATTTGTCAATTTTTATTAACTATTATATTATATTTTATCATTTTCTTCATGCATTAAATCTATA